GGCCTCCCACATCCCAGTGCTGCACCTCACCCACGGGGACACGCAGCTTACATTTATGGTTAGACTGAACTTGTAAGAAAAATGTATTCAGGGACAAAAAGCAACTGTCCCCCTGGGTCTCCTGACAAGTCCCCGACCCGCGGCTGCATCTCCACCACCTGCTCGGGCTGACATTCACGGTTCTGAGGCTGGCAAAGGCTTGGGTAGATCCTAGCCAACTCAAAATGCCACTTTTTGTTTTCTAGAGACACCATTTTCCTGTGTTTTAGACAGCCTTACCCTCTGTTACTGAAAAAAGGTCTGTGTGTGATTCGAGGTCAATTTACTGCACAAAGGACTTGGTTTCCTGTTATCAAGCCTAGACTTTCATCAGAATAAACATCCCCTCACTGCACGTCCTGTAAAAAAATACAAGTAATATGAACAGAATATATCATGACAGGCTTGGAAAAGAAACCGGTACCTTGTATTTGCCTACCACATCCCCTGTTCCCACTGGTAAGGTCTTGGGGTGCTTTCTTGTAAACAGCAGCAACAGGCCCTGAACCTTCCTGAGCCGTGCGTAAGGGTATGTCTTCTCCGTAACAAAGATCTCCTCCTTGAAAAGGTGCTAAATGCAGAGTTAATCCATGAGCTAATCGGACAAGAAAACATCAGGACATGACCAGGGAATCCTCAGCCCTCCCAAAACAAAGGCAAAATAAATGGGGACAGTCGTATTATTTCTGTTACAACTGCACCATACGGCCACTGCGTTGAATCCATGGATATTTTACAGCTAGGGCATCTTAATTCCTATTTTCTAGCTCATAAATGACAAGCTGGGTATTTAGAAGACATCAAGGTGGCCAATTGATTCTGCACGAGAACAGTAGGTCATTGATGCTTCGGGAAATGCCATCCAGGCATGTCTGGCACACAGATACCCAGGGTGGTGTTTCCTATGGAAAACTCTTGTGAGGCTTTGGAATCTCAGCCTCCGCTTAAAGGAAAGACCTACGTGCCAACCTGACTTAAATTAGCCTTGGAAAGTGCTTATGGAAAATGTGCCAGCTCAGATGCAAATCCCTCTTACCTACCTCGTGATGACAACAAAAGCCTGATGAAATTTTACTCATCCATTAACAAAAAAGACTTTGCCCAGTGCCACACGTGGGTGGGATTCCAGGAGGGTGACATGATGCTTTTGGCACGAGGCTCTCGGCCCCCAGGAACGGCAGCCCTGTGGCATGACAAACGCCGGCACTCCACTGCAGCAGGCCACAACCACATACTTTACCTGCTGACTCAAGAGGAAGAATGCAGAACCTACAAAAATTAAAGTTCCAGCCAAAATCCCGAGATGGTAATCTCACGGAATAGTTCTTCAGGTAAAGATTTCTGATTAGAATTATACCAGTGAAAATACTAGCTGATTTCTAAGCACATTTATAGCAAGGTATATCCTAGGTGTTTCACCGGTATCACTGCAGAAATCCACTGGAGGAAAAAAATGATTGCTTAGCTCATTTGGACAGTGTTACAACTTGATTTTTGTATTACCACCAGGGATAGAGATCCCTCCATGCTCAATGGCAAACCTCATAACTCTCCTGTTTAAAGTGCGAAAGAACCTTCACTTCTCCCACTCCTGTGTCGTGTTTCGTTTCTTCTCTCTCTGCTCCCCTTCCAAAACCGAAAGCAGCAGCAATCGGGTCAGATGGTTTCCTAGATGGCGCGCAGCAGTGGAAATCCCAAAAGAATCCTCGCTTTCAGGTGAAAAACGAATGGTGACACCTGTCCGCAAGATTACTGTGCAGTACCGGGGACTGGGGTTATTTTCTTGTTGAGGACAGTGTATTTAAGGATGTGGTTGAGACAATGCACTTTCCGTTTGACTTCAGTTTGACTTTCAGTTTGAAGCAGAGACACTACTCTTCTTGTTAAACGCTATCCCAGAAACAAGGAACGATTTTCAGAAGCACCGCCAACCTGTTTGTGGCTCGGCGGGTTAAGGATATCCACATTACAGCTATTAAAAAGCCTGTGGTCATGATAAACGAGAAAGGGTTCCCCTTCTTCACTGATTTTCTGAAAAACCCCGTGAAGCGTTCACTTTCCCCTTACAGAATGTTCCCAATATTCTGGGTTTTAAAACAAAAGCTTGTCATCTTAATTGCTGTTTGTATCTTTGGGAGATCAAAGGGAGGATGTCTGTGATTCTTTGTATTACTCACGGTTACACTAGGACAAAGATCACATATTCATTTATTTTGGTGTGAGAGGTAACAGTCTCCTTTCACTGCACGCACATAATTACTGTAAGCATTCAGGGGACTTGCCAAATGATGCATGGGGGGGAGGCGGAGAATCTTTGAAGAAAATTGTTCAAACGTAATTTAGTTCACTAATTGGCAAGGGACCGTTACTAACGAATTGCTTCTGTTTTATGTCAGGAGTGAATCAGGTTGATGATGTGTAACATACATTAAGTCAGTTAATGAGTATTAACTAGAAATGCTACCGAAACACAAGAAAAAGGTTTCTTTACCTTTAGCTAGCCAAGCAGAACTGCTAATAAATAAAAGGATATGTGTAAGTGGCTTATATGATTCCAATCTGCAGTGGAAAGACTTTTCTTAGAATCTGATGGTAACCACAAGTTTGTGGGAAAGAAAAATCAGACGCTTACTGTGGCAGTTCATCACAAGGTACTTTATTTCTAACCAAGCCTGAAATGAAAATGACTAAAAGCCATTACCGTAAAATAGCTGATTAGAAGCCAACGAGAAGTGAGACAGTGAGTCCCTGGCCATGGCTAATGAGACCAAGACACGGTGCAGCCAACGAAGCTGTGGATTTACCTCGTGGTGCTTGTGTGCACACTCTCACTATGCGGTGACACAAGATGGCTTGCTTCACTTTCATTGCGGGACGAGACACTTTGCACCTTCCAGTGTGCACCAAGCAAGCCGGCACGCCCCTGAGCCTCGAATCATGCTTACAGGAGATAGAGTGGCTTGTCTGAATAGCCAAAATCACAGACACATTTGCCTTTCTCATAGACACACAACACAACAAGGCTTTGGGTGCCGGCAGTGGGCTGAAGGAAGATGGAAGCCAAATGCTCCAGCAGTGCCAGGGCAGAGCTTTCAGGTCAAGGCAGGTCCTGAGCTGTGAAGAACGCAGGCCTCCCGCGGATGTGCAGGCAGGAGAGGAAATATCATAACAAAATCTGGGCAGAAGGAAGATTTCTGGTTTGCTCTGGCATGCAAACAAACTGGCTTATTAGGCCACAGGTGCAAAAATGAGAACACAGGACTGAAAGTGAGGATAAAATGGAGAACTCTCACGTTCTATGAGTTTTGTGAAATAGGCATCGAACCACAAAACCTGCCAGACACTGCTGCAGGCTCCGGGACGGGCAGTGGTCTGTCTGCCTTGGGCCAGGTAAGGACAGCTGTGGTATTAGCAGCGGATTGCAATGTGTGACTCAGCTACCTGGAGAAGGAGGTCGACTGGACATCTCGGGGCGCTCAGCTTCAGCGTTCTCTCTGCCCAGTCAGCCAGTTCCAGCCCGGCCTTCACCTCTGTCAGATGGCCAACCAGAGCAAAAGTGCAAAAGAGAAGCGTCAATCCCCACCTTTTACCCAGTCACCGTTTCAGTAGTGAGGAAGATCCCTGATGTCTGGAACCAACCTCAAGCGCTGCCACAGCAGAAGACGTCACAGACAGGGAACCTGGGGTGTCAAATGATGGCACTGGCAGCCGAGGCCCTTCGGCGAGATGCCCCAGATACTTGCCAAGGGATCCTCACTGCTTTCTGCAGCACTGCCTGACATACGCCACCACAGAAACACCTCGCATCCAAACCCCTGCTGCTCTTCAAGTCCTGTCCTGAAATATCCTCACTGCGTTTCTGAAACGTCAGGGATGCTGCTACACAAGGGGGTGCATTATTCTGTTGCACTCCAGTGCTTTTATTTCCCCATCACTCTAAGATTTGAACACCTCAGGCAATCAACACCGCATTGGGAAGAGAGTACACTGCATTCCCTTCTTCACTCTTTCATATTTCAGTATCTGTTTTACAAATTCTGCAAAGTTCAGGCAAAGGTTGTTCCTTGAACCTCTTTTTTGAAATGTCTGAGACTAATTAAGACCATTTTGCTCCTCCTACTCCAGTAACAGCCACTACGTCTTGACAAGGGTGCAGGCCAGGCAATCTACGTGGCAGAAAGTACAGCACCTTTGGTCCAAGGCACACAGAATTTTTCTTTTGTTGCTGTTGTCCACACCTGTATTTGCAACCACAAGGAGTCTTTACTAAAATCAGGTTTTAAATGTGGTGTATTTCAACACAATTTATATTGTACAAGTGTCTAAGCCCCTTGGCACATGGTGGGTTGGTGGTTTAGAAATAAGCTGATAATACAGCCACAGCAACACTACTTGCAGAGTCAGAAAAAAAAAAAAAACATTTAGCACCAGCAGAAAGTCTGTATAGACTACTTTATCTCTGTATTCAGTAGAGATAAAAATCCCTATTTGAAAAAAACGTATGGTCCGGAAACAGCAGAGAGGATGAAGTTAAGCCCAATCTAGTGAACCATGAGACTTTTTTCTTGCTGGCATTGATACCTCAGAGTGTTCATCTTGAAATACTGCCGTTACATCTTGGTGACGTACTGGCAAAGGACAGTCCAGCCACAGAGGAGGAAATTTAGTTGGGGGGGGAGCAGGATGGAGGGGGTGATGGAGAGAAAGAAGCACACAGACACCATGCACATGGAATCATAAACCGTCAACTTTAGAACATCAAACAAGTGCTGTTGGTTGACATTGTCATGACAATCACGGTGCTTGCTGTTGCTCTGCAATCCAAAGCCCGCACTAGATGAACATGCAGAAATACACGCGGCATGTGGAAGAGTTAAACATTGGAAGGAGTAAAGGTCTTACTAGTCAGATGACAATGCAAACTCACACCTTCCAAAATGTATTGTGTGTCAGAATGAACATCATTTCCTGCCTTCCAAAAGCAGCTTCTCTGGTTCACTGACCTTCCTTCTCTTCTTGGGTCCTGTTACCTCTTCCTGGCTAAACGCAAGGTTCAGGCAGCTTATCTGTAAGAACCATCAGAAACAGTGATCATTCTCATGGTACAGGTCTCTGCTAGATGAGTCAAGAAATACAACTTCCAAAACTACAATGTGTTTTCCTGGATCCTCTTGGGTTTGTTCACTGTGATCCTGTTGTCCAGGAAAGCAACTAGGTAAGGAATGAAAATTAGAATACTGGATGGAACTGCGACTGTAAGACTTGCGAAAGCAACAGGTTCAGCTTCAGGGACAGAGAATGGTTTTGGTGGCACAAGGAACAATGACAGAAAATACCATGAGCAAGGAGACCTTTAAGAAATGTAATAGCTTATAGGGCACAGCCTTTTCCACCAACATCAGATAATCATAAAAGTATGCCAAAGAAGGGGGCCACGTGCCAAATTTGTGGTCACCAGAAACAGCCTTTCAGGAGGAGACATACAGTACCTCTGTGTGTACATCAGGGAAATTCAAGACGAGTCGATCTCAGACTTCAAAGGTTACCTGTGAGTCTGCGAAAAATAACTGAGGAAAGCAAGCTTTTTTTCCAAGAGGCTTAACTTCCCTCTGTAAAGACACAAACCTCCCTCAAAAATATTCAGGGGGCTACAATCCAAAAGGTTAAAAAACACGGATAAATGTGTGTTAGAATATAAACGAGTCAATGCTACAGGCAAATCAGACAGCCCACAGAGAGAGGGACAGACAGAAATTGGCTGTGCCAAGTGACAAACTCACTTGTTATCACATAACATTTGCATTTTTTACAATAACAATCTGGAGCTGCAGAGAGTACCGTGTGTTGTCGCCCACCCAGAAGGGACAGAGCACACAGTCTGGCAATGTAACCTCTCCTGCTCTCACCGGAACTGAGCTGAAGGGACACACCACAGCACACCGCTTCAACTCTGCCTCCGAAAGAAAGTTCATTTGGATGAAAATAAGGTGAATGAAGAGAGAAAAGAGTACTGAGCTCCTGCTCCAAAACAGCAGTACTTCCCTCCAGTTTTACCATAAAACATGAGGAATCCCATTAGTGAAGCAGGATAAACACAAGGAGTTAATAAAGAGCTATTCCAGAATGCATCCTGGAGACAAGCACAAGGTCTCCAGATTACAAAATGTGGTCACTATAGAATTCCCCACTCACGTCATCAAGGCTTTCTTTCTATCTGACCTTGGTATGAGGCTTCAGTAATCTCTGCATAGCAATGGTCTTTCTAATGTGTGAAATAACTCTGATTATGGATTAACAGCAAAATAGTTTGAAACAACCTCATTTGCCTCTCTATCGTGTTTCAAATTGTTTTTCCTCCCCTCTTCCCTCCTCTTCATTATGAGCAACACAATATTGCTTAATGCAGAAAGTACAATTCCCTTTCCATAAAAACAGAGAAAACGAGAAACTGCCAAAGTGGGACGGGCAGGTTCTCCTTCATCCTGCACACTCAGGCTGACAAAACTTCCAGCGCTGCCCAAGGCGTGTTTGCTCGAGGAGAGAGTGATGAGTGGATCTCTGTGTTACAGCTCCTGACCTGATATCCAGCTGCTCAAACTGGCATTTTAGGCGGTTATTTACTTTCCTCTCCCTGGCATCGTTTTAACCTGTCTGCTTCCTTTTTTTTGAAGTAAAGAGCCCAGAGGGGGAAACGCTGCATCCAAAACCTCTCCAGTGCTGACACAGCTGCAGGGCTTGTACCCTGTCCCGCTGGCCACACAATAAAGCGAAGCGATGATCCCCAGTCTCCCGGCCCCCAGTCACCTGAATAAGGCAGCGCTCCTTCTGTTTTAGCCCAAACCGCATAACGAGAGCATCAGCTAGAACTTGTGCTTTTATTTCCTCTGCTGAGGAATGGATCTTCTGCAGTACAGACTCAGTGAAGTTTTTCACCCCTTGGCTATTCCTTCTAAATTTTCTGCATGGATGGGATACTTCTGAGGTGGGAGAAAGAGCCACAACGAGCAGCTGCTCACACAGAGCCCACTGCAAGTCTCTGACAGCTCTCCTCCCTTCTACCGCAGGCAGCATGACCACCTATGCAAGCCATCAAGTGCCCGAGACAAGCACTATTCATCTATCAAATGAATAAGATGTCAACTGTGTGAGGTATTTCACCAGAGCCAGCATGTCCTGTCCTGCCCCTGCCCAGCTACAAGTTCATGTAGGAACTCCGAGCCAGGAACAGATCCTAAGTCCAACTTCCAGGTCCCGTCCTTAACCAAACACTCAAGCTTCTCCTCCAGATATGTCGCTCTAAATGGGATTAAGTCAGATCCTATATATGTTTATTTGACTTTAACCAGAAAGTAAACTTCTTGAAAGGTGTGGTGAAAAGCAGGAAATCCCTCCCATTGACTAAACATACAATCAAAGCCTCCAGAAGTTGATTAATTCTTTATTTCCCATGTACTGGGATGCTTGACTTAGAATAACTGATGGAAGAGCTTGCGCTGTACGAATGTTGGGTTTTTTTTGTCTTACACAACCATGCCAGGCCCTCGGCTCGCTGATGAGCCAGGTGCTATAAAAGCACACAGTGCAAGGCCCAGACCCTTGCGTGTGTGCCCCGCAAAGGGACCGTGCTGACAACAGGACGGGTGGGACACGTCCAGATCAAGTGGCAAAGGTAGGAACAGACCTGTGACCTCCTGACTCTGAGTCCAAGGTGTAGGTCTGGATCTAGGTCACACTATGAACACACAGTGAGTTTGAATCTCCTGTTTTTACAATACTGTACTACGTGTAAAAAAGTCATATGTTGCCACAGAATTTTTTCTGTAAAAATACAGCTAACTTGTGAATCATACAAGTGTTACTAATTTCTGGCATAAAACTAACAGGACAGCTGCACATTGTCTGGAGAAGATATCAGGCTAAAAATAGATTAGACTTAGATTAAAGCCTTCCCAAGGCAGACTGGTGGATGAAACAGAATGAGCAGACCACAGCTACACTGCTATTCTTAGATAGACAAAATCAGGACCTAGTTTTGTGCTCTGCAATTTTCAATCCCCAGTGTCCCCACGTATTCCGGCCAAAAATTCCCAGCATAAATCGAAGCAAATTTACAGCTCTTCTGACATGTGTTTTGCTTCCCAAGGCATCCTATGTAGAAAAGCTAAAATTGCACAAGAGCATTCGACTGTATCCCTCTTTGTCCCCAGCCTGCCCCGTGCTGGGGTTTGGCACTTGGCAAATTTCATGCCCTCAGAAGAGCTCCCTTTGCCAGGGACACGGAGTATTTAGTTTGGTACCTCGTAACTATCCAGGCAAATTCAGAAGCACATTCATGTCAGAAGAAGTCCAGTTCCATCAAGTGAGTCAGAAGAATAAGGACTGCGATACAAGACTTAACTGCTGAAATAAGGCAAAATGATGCTCAGGTGCCAGGGTGATAAATACTCTCTGCAGGGGATGTCTATCGTCATCTGCAATCAGAGAGAGCCAGTGCCTGATGTGTCCTGTGATTTCAGCTGCCGCTAACATTGACTCGATAGCACAGCAAACACTTGCCACTTGGAAAAATCAAGCCAGTGACTCTTTGAATTGATCCCCTACGACCTGGGGCATCCCCAGTGAATGGCCATTTCTCTCTGGTGGAAGGCAGTAATTCACAGCTGCTCCCTGACAGCTGGCTGCTCCATGCTCTCCAAGCACAGCAAAATCAAGGTACGGCCTCGTGCCCAGTGAGCAGACAAGGGGAAATGGACACAAACTGAAATACAGGAAATTCTATTTAAACATAAGGACAATTTTTTTTTTTACTGTCAGGGCAAGAAAATACTGGCACAAGTTGTCCAGAGAGGTTGTGGAGTCTCCATCCTCAGAAATATTCAACACCTGAATGGACAAAGTCCTGAGAAACCTGCTCCGCTTCACCCTGCTTTGAGCAGGTAGGTTGGACACGATGATCTCCAGCTGCCCGTTCTGACCTCAGTGATTCTGTGAAGGCGGCACAGTGGTTAAACGCTCGATTCAGGGCTCAGCACTGGTCTCATATCAGTTTCCAGTAAAGCGATCGCACTGACATCAGTGGCATTAATCCTGATTTTCATCTGTACAAGTGGAGAAGAATCATGCTGGTTAGCATGAAAGCCAATTTACGCAGGTGGAAGAATGAAAGACACTCACTGTGGTGCTTCTGTGGAAACTTGCCACATTTTTGTCCCCACGAAGCCATGCCAACACATCACTGACTACTACTAGTCCTCCTCCTTTTCCATAGCTCACTGTTAAAATCTCTGACATTTAACGCTATTTCTTTTTTGCAAACTAGAATTCTCACAGGCCTACTCTGTATCTCACATATCTCATAGCATTTAAAGGACTAATGAACAGATTTTGTCAGAGTGTAAAAAAAAATTCTTCAAAAATACCAGATGAAAAAAAACTATCAATCCCTCTCCTTATAACCTCTTCCAGGGCCCTCAATCCCCCTGTACGCTGCTGTGCTGGCCATTCCAACTGCGGGGTCACAATCCAATACGCCTCCCGAAACTGGAAGCCTTCCTCCTGTAAGATCCCAGCGTTGTAACTGAGGAGGCGAAAGGCAACGGACGCTCCTTCTGCCTACGAGGCTGCTACCCAGCTTAGTCCCTCATGGGATATTAGATCTGTCCAACCTTAATTTATGTGGATTTCTCTAGAGGGTCTGGCTGCTAATGTGTACGTTATGATCATACGTAAAGGCAGCCAGCGCGGAAGCTCCACATCCCTGGGGTAGCTGTCAGGGAATTTGAGGGTGCAAGGGTTAAATCTCCCCGGATCTGCGGGGTGATGCGCCTCACCTCTGAATGAGGAGATCAGTAGGAAGCTGCTTCCTGCACGCTAGACAGGGATAACTCATGCAAGGGATGAATGGCCCCAAGATACAGCTGAGGATCTGACGTGAACTGAGAGAAGCCAGGAATTTCCTGACCTCCGTGTCTCACTCCTCCCAACATGGCCTGAGCTCACAGGAAGGAGAGGCAAGCTCATCTCTGAATCTTTCTCTCTTCATTGTTTGGGTCTGTGTAGCCTCAGCTGGTTTGGAGGAGAAAATGTTCTGGGAACTTCTCATCAGATACAGCTCTCTTGATAGACAGTTAGAGATAAACCTTTGGGGTTTTTTTTTGTTTGTTTTTTTGGTTTTTTTTTTTTCTGCAAAAGTTCAAGATAATGACATTGCCACAGAAAAATGCTTTCCTATTGCTCTGCAAATGGCAGGCTTCACCCTCCAACTGCCTTCTGTCATGGCAATTTTAAAAGTGGTTTGCCAAGGGAAAAAAATCAGACAACAAAGGTCTTGATCCCCAAGCTGCTATTCTGCAATTGAGTCCACTTGTGCTGCCCCTTGCTTTCAGACAGAAGCTCTGTACAACACAGAAGCTCAGCAAAGGCAAATGAACTGCCATCAGGATGACCATGGCCCTGGGCACCAACAGGACACTGATCCCTGGCAAACATGGCAGATATCACTCACAATCTGTCATCCATGAAAGACCGTGTTCATGCTGGCTTCCATCGCTGACACGGTCCCTTGGAGAAAGAGGACGCGGCCAGGTAGCCAAGTCTTCTGCATGGGAGCAGCAGCTGGAAGCCAGACAGGCTGTCCTCTGAGGTCTAACCCAGCACTGACCTACAACATTGAGGTATGAATCTCTCCCTAGACGTCTAACTCTCAGACAGCTCCAGTTAAGAGAGCTAATCTGCATGGCAGGAGTATGTCTACAGCAGGCAATGAATCGCAGCGCAGGGACCCCTGAGCTATCATCGACCCAAACCGATTATGTCCACACAAGGTCAAGTGTCAACACGCTTCCTCATGTCCCACAGCGCTCTGGTAGCACAAGTGCAGCCAGTCCAGCAGCATGAGCCCTGTCTGGCGCGAGCTAACGAAGCCAGAAACTTGGGAGGCAGAACCGACTTGTGTTGTGCTGATACGGCCACACCATTTCCAGCTCTGGCGCAGGCTCCCTCAGGGGCGACTCAGGGCTCCCTGAGCGGCTGCTTCCCCGTGCATGAGACTGTGCTCTAAGGACCACCCCAGAACTTCAGCCCACAGCTTCCTGATGGGAGATAAAAGCCTGCAGAGGCGTCCACATAGTCAGATTTTACTCATCTTCTAGTTCTGTTTCATTCCAAACTCATTCCACTGCAACATGCTTGCTTACATGAAGACAAAACTTACCAAAATCAATTTGTAGGACAAGAGCACAAAAGGATTCACAAAAGGACAAAGGAGCATGCTGAAGAATTCAAGCAGTTACCTCAAGTTCAGTGCAGGACCCCACTGTCATCAACAGATTTCTATAAACGATATCAAAGAGCAGCAATTCCTTACTTTACTCAACTCTTCACAGCCCCCAGAATGCCAGTGGAAGGTAGCAAGATGCATAAAGATAACACACTGGGCCAGATCCCTGGCTGATGCAATCAGGAAAACTCTCCTGAAGTCAGCAGAGGTAGGCTAATTGACATGCTGGTGTCTAACTCGGGATGATTAAGTACAGAGATGCTTTGCTGGGAAAGGGCAATCTCTCATTTGATCCTAAGTACCATCAATCATGAGATTGCAGATAACAAGCCAGTTGAGTACATGGAAATGTTTCTCCAATCTGAAAAGCCCTCTGTCAGAGACTCTCCACAGCCACCACTAAAGGCCGCTTACAGTTGGAATTGGACAGGAATAGTTGCTGCTCTTCTGGCAGATCTGCATCCTTTGCCTCTCCCACGTCGATTAGATAAAAATAAGCCCTTAATACCTTCATTCCTGGTTTTCCTGAAGAGCTATAGGTCAGGAAGATAATGACCAAAAAACCCAGTTCCAACAGCATGGTTTTTATTTTCGATAACCAAGGAAACAGAAACAATAAAGCAGCTCAGATGAAGAGTAACAGGCTCATCCACATTTCCAAAAGCAACTTCTGACTGTGGGTACCACAGTTTTGAACCCAGCACTTCTTGAATATCAAATCCTGGTACAGTTATCAAATCCTGGGACACTCTACATTGTTTTAGTTAGTTCAGAAAATCCTGGCCTGAATGGTTAACAGAGAGCACCTTTAAACCCAAGTCCCTGAGGTGCTGCTCAGCTCCTCGCCATCCAGTCTTGCCCGCTCCCTTACGGTAGTGCTGGTACGGGAGCAATCATTCCGTGACCTAGTTCAAGGGGATCTTCTGGTGGAAACCTAACACTCAAAGCCAAGCACTAGCACGGCAAATCTAAGGGCTCATGTCTGCCCCCAAAAAAGCAGACCTCCATGCCCCAGGCTAGGTGGTTACCCAAGGCCCCTCACACACCGAGCGAATTAAACTCTGAAATCCAGGAGAAAACAGGGCACTTTGGAGACCTTTAAAGCAGAGAGCTTCCCTGAACACACCTGACAGCTGGAAAACACTATTACTGGACTGGACTATAGTCTGGAGAGCAACCAGGTGTTTGCATTCACACCCCAGCAGGACTACTTCTACCCATCTCACCTACACTTGACCTTGTTAGATAACACCTAACGCAGACTTCCCAATCCACCCAAGCTCATCCTCATTTTTTAAGACAAACTTCACTCACCAGTTTGGCTTCCTGATTCAAGTGGAATATACAATGGTCATTTGTTTTAACCACTTCCCTCAGAAAAGAAGGGAAAGTCCCTCTACATGGAAAACAGTGTCAGATTTTTATTAGCACTGGCTTTACAATGACGATCTGCACTTTTTTAACTAGTGACTTGACTTCGTTTTTCTCTAAACTGACAGAAATATCAGCCAACTTCTAAGCTATGATGGTTAAAAAAAATAGTATAAAAGAATCCATTAAAAACCCCTCTGCCATGCAGAATTGACCAGGAAGAGGGCTTGGGATTTTTTTTTTTTCCTTTTAAGTCTTTGGAAGCATACAATGGATAAAGTGACTCTTCCATTTTTCAACAACTAATACTGTTTCCACCACCTTCAGACACTCTCACTATTGCTACTGTATTGTAATGAAATTCACATGCTGCAAAAAAGAGGTGTCTGGTGCTCTGCTTAACAATCGTGACAACCTAAAAGAATGTCAGAGCATGAATCAGTGGGACAACCACGGGTTACAAACAGAAAAGGCTCCTGTTTTCACACAGACGACAGAATAAACAATGATCAGAAGGAAACTGGAGGATGTGACACAAAAAAAAAATGTGGTTGAAGTTTGAAAAATACCAGCCTAAGCACAGAAGTTCATTTCTAAGATCCAGAGTCAAGGCAAATACTTCACAGATGCCTTTTGAATGACACGTTAAGTTGTAGTCTCCAGTTGCTGTCTGGGTTAGACACCCTGGGATTCTTTTCAACAGAGGCGGGGAAAATTTTAGTAGCAATTTCCTACTCTCATTAACTTATCCTGTAAAGACTCAATTTATGAACATTCAAGCTCACACCATTTTCAACTAATTTGAATGGGAGGAGGATCGAGTGCCAAGTCTGGTGGTATTCAGAGATTTGCCCTGTCACTGAAAAAACCTCTGCACAAGCCCATGAATTCGAGCTCTGACTCTGACTCAGGGTTTAGCCTGGGCAGTCTTCAGGATGGAATTAATTGCTTATCTAAAATGTCATGTCTGGTCTCCCCTAGTTCTTTGGGTTGCCCCAACAGCCACTGAAAAAGAAATCAGCACCTCCAGGGGATAATTCTTCCTATCCCAGAGAGGTAGCCAAAAAGGGATAGGATCTAGTAAGTACCTGTGACTCACATGTAAAGACAGTCTGGAAGAAAGGAGAGGTGAAGACCATGTGAGGCAGCAGACAAACACACCTTTCAAACCTAAACCAGGGTGGCGATTTCAGGACCTTAATCCAAAACCACACACAGATAAACCAGCCTGGTTTGGACACTGATAAGTCTAGTTTGCACGTGCCATTCACAAGGGCCAAATACAGAGAACAGTACAAAATTCTGTACTGGATGAATGAAATAAGCTGACCATGGAAACTTTCTTCCTTCATGCTTATATCCCTATGCCCTAATAGTTTGTAGCCTCTGTCTTTTTGGTGCTGCACAATAAATCCACTAATGTTAGATAAATCTTGGGCCATCCTCAATGCCTCAGTGTTCTGTGGCAATGAATTCCACCTTGCCTGCCGTGTGTCAGAGCCACTAAAATTTGCTCACCTGCTGAGATGCCCTTGAGCAAGGCATCCTGCCCGTCTCCTTTATTCTTGTCTTCTTTCCACCTACAATCCAAACATCATATCAAAATTAGCTCCAAAGTTAAAACCCTACATTTAATTGAAAAATAAATCCTGAAGCCTGAATAAACAACAGCAGCAAAATCCCAGCAGTCTGATCTGAAATTGTGTATCTCTCAGGTGCCTCCAACACTGACAGTTTATTCCTGGAAACAGAGGTTTCAGAATAAAGTGTCATCTGAACACACAACACATCAACTTGCAGCAGCTCCTATCAAGGAAACTAAAACTCCATTTTAACCCTGTTTCCTAAGAAAACAAAGCTTATGCCTGCATGTGTGTGTGTGTGTATGGGGAAGGAGGGGAGCTGTCCCCTGACTAATAACTATTGACTAATAACTAGTAGACAGTTTTAATAAAATTTGATTGGGGAATCCCAAAACACCTTAGAGTTTCATGAAAACAGGCAACTGGTCAGAGGAGGAAAATCCTGTTAATATCCCCACAGTGGAAAAGGCGGCAGGATGAGTTCACTCCTTATTAGTCATGGGAGAATCTGCAGGAGAAAGACCTGAAACGGTGACTTCATAGGCAGAGAAGCTGCTTTATTCCACGGCCTGGGGATCTCAGGAATGCTATTTACCATTTTGTCACTAGATGGTATTGTTCCACAGGCTATATCCGAGAGGCTCAAAGGTCAGGTACAGCATGGTATAGCAGCAGCTAGGCTGACTGAGGGGACAGAGAGACAGCGTCTGTTCATGTATGTTCGTGTATGTTTTCACATATGGAGGTCATTAGCAAAATCAAACCAACAGCTACAGGAAAAGATCTTTGATGAAAATGTAGATGAGGTAACTTGGTATTGATGAGCTGTGTATTTCTTCCATATCTGAAAAAACCTGCTGAGATAAAGAGGTGGAAAGATATCGATAAAAATTTGAATGTTTCTCTTAACAAACCCAGCATACACAACAGGCCCTTTATTAGAGTTCAACCTGATCGGACACAAAATTCATCCTGACAGACTCTGTTCATCCCTTTCAAAGTAAGTGAGAAAACCTAAAAATTTCACTAGGATACAGTCATGAGCACAAGCTCCTTCAGTTTTGAAACTGTGTGTTTACCTCTATCTTGAAGGTTCAGAGAAGATGCGTCCGCTTTCCAGCCTGGATGGGTGTCGCTTTTGTCCTCTCCACGCTGACTTGAATCTAGTCTGATGGGGAGAGGATGATTCTGCAAAGCAAATGTTTTGTCTTAATAGCATAACTTAAAAAATGTGCCCAGGTGGTAAATCCATAAACCCATGAGATTTTCACAGCTCCTCAGTGTTCAGGCCCTCTTTCTCCCAAGCCTACAGGTTTTTCAAGAGAGAAAAATCTAAGAAAATACAGAATTCTAACCTAAAGGGTTTCCTGTCTTCAGGAGTTAGTTACGTTGAGGTTTATTCCCTGGCACTGACCACCTAAAATTAAATCATCACATCTGACCTACCAGTCCAGACTGCCCCTTCTGTCATTTTGGAGAGGCACCACCAGAGGATCATTCATTCCACCCTGCCTTGGTGTCTAAGGAAACCATCTGAATTACCTGCTAAAGATGCACAGAGGGGGCGTAGAAAAATTAGACACAACACACACAGACTTCTAGATGGCTAGGGGTAAGTGGAAGGAATCCCAGCTAACTACACAGTGGAACATGGCTTAGGCCTGAGAAATGCCAAGTGGAAATGCAAACTTCTTTCCAATTTTCTCCACCTTGTGCATGTCTGTGTCTGTGTATGTGTGTGTGTACGGTATGTGTCCTGTCTCTCTGTACAATCACTGCCCTCTTCTGGGAGAACATACCAGACTCAATAAACCAGTGGATATGCTGGAAGGAAATTCACTTTATGTCTACAGACTTCCAGCCTCAGCTTTCAATCCGCTGTAGCACTGCTGCCCAGCACAAGCTGAAACCCTGATTCTGAGAAAATGTCTCTCTTAAGGAGAATTTTGCTAGATAAACATTCCTCCAGCAGGAACCAAACAGAGCTATTTCTATACCTTTGTGCTCCCCTCCTCTTCCTCTTCATCGCAGTCTAACCCTTGATGGGAGATCTCAGTAGGGCCATTCTGCTGGATCAGGTTGCTTTCAACCATCTTCATTCTTTTCTTTTCAGTTGTCACTCTGACTTTCATGAGGTGGAAACCAGTGGAGACTGACCCTACTCGCAGGTTGACAGGATCGCCATCGAACAACAGGTCACCAGGGCTGCCATCTTCCTTAAAGCCTGGCGGCTGGTAATCTTCCGGAGTTACTACACAGGGAGAAAGAACCCATTGATGTCAGAGAAATCGAGTTCCATCTCTCCTTAATCTGATTGATAAAGAACAAGAACACCAGCCTCAAGTAACAACACCAACTACTAAAAATATTCTGGGTTTTTTTTCAGGAAGAAGGGAAAGAACATAAAGGAAAAAATAAGCTGAGCAAATCTTATCAGGGAGCTCAAAGAAACAATTACTTTAGGACACTGAGATACCATTAAGGTGCTCAACTTTCTGGAGCAGAACCTGACAAAAGCATGATGCCTGTTCCTTAAAAAAACAACCTAACTGTGAAGAAGAAGGATGTCTCCTTTTCACACTGCATGGCTGTACTTCTTGCACGGATGTTCAACCCTTTCTTAAAAAGTATCTGCTACCCGTGTATGTCCGAAGGCTTTACTACATTTTACACCGTTTCTCACTGCTAGCAGGTAACAGATTCTACCATTTCACCTTTCTGTGCTTTATTTACTTTACAGGGGCTCAGGATTAGTGCAGAAACTGTTGAAAAGGGAACTTCTCCCCACAGCACACACTGCTCCCCACCTACCATCATTGTAGTAGAGGAGTTTCATGGTCAGGGTAATGTCATTGGGAAGCGGGCCAAGGTTCTGCATTAGCAGGTACAGTTTACGGATCAGATGCCTGCTGGCCTGTTTCACGTCCTCGCTGCTTGCTGCATTCACAAAGTTCGTTTGGTTGCTACAATCGGATAGAAGAATAACAGATTTGTTTTCCTCAGGCATGAATATTCACGATCTAATTACAAATACAGCGCACCCCGCTGACTTGTCTGAAACCACCAGCACAAAGCTACAATGCCTTTATGTAATTTCCAGATCAACAGGGAAGTGAAACAGACTCCAGGGATGGGGTGGCATCAGCAAAACAACAGCTCTGAACTCAGAGGCACGGCATTTACATTTGAACAGACTTTGTAGCTGGGGCAGTGGACCCCATTATACAAATGTCATGACTCACTTGTTTGAACATGATTAAACTGGATCAAAGGACCATAAAACAAGTGCCTTTCACCCGAGCAATTTCAGGAATGAGAGGAATGAGGTGAGAATCCCATATAGGGCCGATTCATCACAGGGGCTATTTTCAAGTCCATTTTGCAGTTTGAAGAGAAGTGAATTGCATGTTATCACTCCAATTCCATGTAAGAAAAACAAGCTCAGAAGCACATTTTTCAAAAGTGACTAAGGGGCATTCCTCTCACCTCCTTCACCCATCCAAATGTCAGCTGGCTAGTCTAAGCAAGTGGTCTAGACTGAGATAAACATGTAACAGAAGTGGGATGAGTCGCCCTCCGGAGGAGTTTGTTTCTCTTGACTACGGAGGTAGATGAGATGAGCAGCTTAGATCAGCCAGCTGATTTGAGATGGCTGAAGATGGACTAGATGAATCACTAAGTGACTAAGGAACCCAAACTTCCTTAACTTTCAATGGAAAAGGAAATATTAAAAAAAAATAAAAGGAGCTCCTCCACTACGTCTTTGGAAGAGGACTGGCAAGTGGATGACACTCTATACGGGCTGGATGGTCCCTAACACAATAATCCCAAATTGCTCCAAACGCACTGAGAAACCCAAGAGAGCAGAGAGAATCCCCAGGCTGCGTATGACTGACCACTGGAAGGAACAGCATCATTAACACTAATTTCCTCTTCCTGTTGAAGCTTCTTGGCTCATTGTGAAAACTGAGCGGCTGTTGAACAGCTTGAATTCCCGAGGTATGCAGGCCAGGGCTGGGTAGGCTCCAAACTGCCAACAGCAAAACTCTGTGCTAAGCACTCCATGCTATTGGATTAAATCTGTACGTTCAGAAATGTACATCCAGTGAGAGGCCAAATCACCTCTTACATATCACCTCTGCAAGTCTGGGGAACAGCGGAATAGAAATGGTAAGGGGAGAGAGTAGAAGCAAAAAAGAGATGAGACTTCCACAGGAATTAACAGGTCAAACACTGGTTCAATATATAATAACATTGTGAATTCGATGCAAGAATGTGGGAAAAGGTAGAAGCTGAGGAACTGAACCTCTGTGAAGGACTGGGGTTCCTGGCAAGGAATTGCCCCAAAATCCATCTAAAATAAGGCAGAGACCATCTAGGAGAAAGTTTCCCTTTCCACTCAGATATCATGATGCAGATCCACAAAACATCTCTCACGGAATGATTAACTCAGATTTTGCAGATGACAATAAACCTTGCAGGTGTACAAAAGCAGTTTTATCAGCTGACAGCGAAGATGACACAATACTCTGATCGATGCCAGAACATCAGTTTACCAACGACTGCAGGTACAAGCATGATCCTGCAACAGCAGCGTCAGTCACTGAGGAAACAAAACAGAGCCCAGCAATCCGCTGTCACGGGCTTTGAAGCCTCAGAGCAGTGACAAGATTTTGACAGAACAGGTATAAACACAACGGCAAGATCACTTTAGCCTCTTCTTGGCCAGTACGGTGACATCAAGGGATGCTGAGTTCCACTTGGGGACTGTTGTTATTTCTAGGAACTAATGACTGATCCGAGTAAGGCTGATTAAAAAACCAATGTACTCAAGAGCTATCTATTATCTTTCAGATCCCAAAGGTCTCCTCTTTCCTCAGTGTAGCGAGGACAACTGACAGCAGCTTCTAAGCAGAGAGTACAGTCCACAGGACACTCCAAACTCACACATAGTTCAGATTTTCCCAACAGAAAATCACTTTGCCACGTACTACAAATGATGTGGATGTGTTTAGAGAAATGGCACACTGCGGGAGCGTTGCAGAGGAGTCTCGTGTGGAACACAGAAGACAGCAGAGCTCTCTTGCTGTACAGGCAGGTTCCAAGGCCCAAAGATCCACCCTTCCCCAATGGCAACTGCAGAAGCAAACTAAAAATGGGTTAACTCTTTTTCTTTGCTTTGGTTATAGCCAACAGCCTTTGATAGTGTTTATTTTAAACTACACAGGATTACAGCCTACTAAACACAGCTTTAAAATATCTAACGGACAGAGCCAAAAAGATGTAAAAAGCTGCTGCTTCCTGCCAAACATTTTGCAGCATCAACTCAGGCATCATAAGCGAAAGTTCTCTTGGGTCACCCACGCAAGACTGCTCAAGCAGAATACACGTATGCAAACAGCCAAGGAAAAAAATCCCAGGTGCAGGATCATGGTGAAAGGGATCAAACCTGCAAGAGCTTCATCTGAAAGCACAAGGGTGTCTTGTGAAAGTGGAAAATCGTGGATTATTAGCTGAGACAGCAGCAAGCTCAACAACGGTGCCAGTTTCTGCATCGCTGCCCTGATTAGGCACCATTTCTATAAATTGTCCTCGATTCAGTTCTGGTGCACTTTAAGTGCCTCGCTGTGCGACGTAACAGCATTTTTACTCACCAGCTCAGCAGTTCATATCCTGTAGGGTGAATATCCCCAACCCTGATGATATTTACAGCTGCTTAGCGACTCAGATGTGCTCTGATCATAAAGTGAAGCTTCTTCTTAATGCTTCAAGAACAGTTTTCACACTGTAATTCTGAGCAATAAAACCAAACCATTACCTGATGATGTCCATCTGAGGCACCTCCTTTTTGTACTTGAATTTGAACTGATACAGTTCAGTCACTGTCTGGAGATTTAACAAGAAAGGGGAAAAGAAGAAATGGGTGTCTCAGTGACAAGTGTAAAGATATGTACCGGACTTAGCAGCATCCTTTCACCACTTTAGGCCAGAGGACAGCATTAATTAAATGTCATGATGACAGCTTTAACTCCGTTATTGCTTGCAAGGGGTTTGGCAAATTTTCTTAACCACCACAGCTTACCTAGTGCTGAAAGAATCACTAAAAAATTACAAACTTCCTGCTTCCTTCTTCCACTTCCTCTGTGGGCCAGACTCCCCAGCCTAAATCCCTAATGAGGCATCGGGGCCATCCAACCATCACAACGTATGTGTGTCCTCCCTCCCCAAAAGGAAAAATGTGAGGCTTCCCGGGTGATGCAGTGTCACAAGGAAGCCTGGCCCAGAGTTCTGCCCAGAGATGAGGGCCTGAAGGACTCCTCCTACTAAGAAATACAAATAATATGGTGTGGGCAACTTTTTGTCTTTCACTGGTCTCGGAGTTTTATGAGGGAAATAAAAAAAACCAAACCTAGATTATTTTCCATTTAAAAAGAAAGGATTTGCTATGATTTTAGAGAATAAAAAAAATTAGGAAGAACAGACTACTTCACCACAAGAGAAAGGCTCTATTGTCATCCAATTCCATGCCTATAATTCACTTTTTGCAGAGGCAATGAGGTCAACTAGCAGAAGCTGAGCTGAGCCCTTAATCCCGAGCCTTCCTTACAAATCCCAGCCTTGGTCTGGACTAAACTCCTGCTCTCTCCCCAGATGCTGAGGTGCGACGCAGCAGAACTGTATCAGGTTGGCAAAGATTCTGCAGCCGTTCTCTGCATTTGCTCTGCGGAGACAGCACGGATGCAGAACCTCAAACCTCACTCATGTATCACGCTACCCAGTCTATCCCCACCTGCTAGATGTAGACAAAAGAGAAACACAACAGAGAACATGGAAAGGATAAGTACTGGCACTATGCAACACATACATCCAGGTTTGAAGTGATTCACAACTTCTGGCCTAAACCTCTCCGCATGGAAAAACCAGCTCTTTTCAACCCTGCTGTTAAAAAGTTGGTTTGTAAAATAATTATTGTGAATTTCCCGTTTCTTCTCTTTGAGAAAAAAAACCAAAAACCAAAATTGCCACCAGGCCTGTGAGGTGCCTGTGAACATCCCTGCCCGAGGCCCTAGACGGGCCCACAGCCTAGTGCCTGGCAGGAGCGTTTGATCACAATCCAGCTCACTGAGCTGTCGTTCTTGAGTGAAGGCAGATGAAGAGAAACAGGGTCACCAAGCAGCTACGGCAGGGTAGGATTTAAGCTTACAAGTCCACTCTGAATACAAATCTACTCACCCATGCCTTCAGTCGCCTCAAAGATTAATTAAGACTCTTTCTTACCTCCGGTTCCTTGGGATTGGTGTAAATCTGTTATAAGAAAGCACAGTGAGCGCATTCTCCCCTTGGATAACTTGAACCAGTGAAAAGTGACTAAACAATGATATTTTCATTTTAGAGCAGAGATTGTACTATCTTTAGCATGGGATCAGCAGCCAGTACTCACCACTTCAAAGACAGGTAGAAGACACTCATCTGTGTAATTGTGGAGGAATGCGGTTATTCCCATTCCATCCTCACAGGCAACGAGCGATGCCTGAGCTGTAACTACTCAGATTATGCACAGAATAGACACATCGCACAGCTCTCGGTGCTTTACAAACGACCAGGGCAAAAGATTTGCTATGTAACCCTAGTGTGTGGTTCCTTCAGTATCAGATTAGTAAGGAGGATTCTTCTGCAGAGGGAAATGGAGAAGACACAGCAGCTTCCCGGGGTGGAGGCAAGAGTTTCAGGGAAGCAATCATATGAAGCACACGAAAGCGCTTCTAGGAGGTTAAGGATGCATGTAAGGCCTCAGAAGTCTGACATACTGAGCAAAATATTCCCACACAGCCTAGGAAGTTCATATTTACCAGATTTAAGAAATACCACCCTTCTGCTAAAAACCACACACATTTTGACTTCCCTTTAAAAAAGGCCCAAATGGGTTGACACAACCTTGACTCCATATCTCTTTCAAACTGGGTGGGGGAAGAAAAATGTCTTGTATTCATTTACTTACTGCAAGCACAGCAATGTGTAACTGAAGAGGGAAAAACAAAACACAAAATCAGAATTTAACCTTAATGGGCAAGGAAAAGAAAGACTTGCCAAAATCTAACTGCCTACATACGGCAAAGGAATAGATACATTCAACAAACTGTGAGTTAAAAATCTTTATGCAGATTCTTCACAGCACGGCATCAGCAACACCTAGTGGCCAATTTGCTTGGCTTTACTTGCAGTTTCCCAAGGAAACAACTCCATGCTCAGACTTCTCTCTTCAGACTCTTCCTAAACAAATCTCCAAAGGCTCTGCCAATTTAAAACTCTTTC